TTTTGAAAACACCATAAAACCTGTACATGAGGGGTAAAGTTGTACTCGGGAGACTTCGCTGAACACAAATATTTGTGTTTTCAAAACAGTAAAAAGTATCACAGCAATAATATCGTCCGTGTAAGTGCTGTTTGTGCATGAAAAATGCAAAAAACGTCACTTTTACTGGCGATATCATCGTTGTAATACATTTTACTGTTTTGAAACACTAATATTTGTATTCAGCGAAGTCTCCCGAGTAGAACAGTACCCCCATGTACAGGTTTTATGGTGTCTCGGAAAGCTATAGGGTTAAATATAGTGCTAGCAAATTAAATTCCCTTTACTTTCGGCATGGGTTGTCAGGCAGGTCCTGCTAATTGTAATTAATTAAGATACCTAATTATGTAAAAATATTACATAAATATATATGTAGAATCAATATATGTATATATATACGTATGTGTACATATATGTATATATCTATATAATTTTTAAAAAATATTTTTATTTATATATAGGTATATATATAGTGATATATACGTATATATTTATGTGTATAAATATATATATTATTTCGTTCTATGTGTATTTTGATATATATATATATATATTAATTTCACAATACAGTTATATTTCACAATACAGTTAGAACGAAATAACACACATCTATATATTTTTTAATTATTTATTTTTAATTATTTTTGTAATTTTATTTTTTAGCGTATTTACATTTTAAATTTTTTTATAATATATATAAATATATATATAACAATAATTATATATATATTTAATCAGTATCAGTGTACGTGTAATTTGATATTAATATATATATATAATTATATATATATTAATAGTAAAATACACCTAGACGGTGTACATGTGTGTATGTATATGTGTATATATATACTTTGATCATATATATATAATATATATATATGATCTAAGTATATATTATTTATTTTTTTACACTATTTATTTATTTCATTTTTATTTTCAGCCAGCAGGGGGACCACCTGTCATTACAGGCAGCCCCCCTGCTGGCAATACAGAAGCCAGCTATCCCCGGCCATGTGATTGTGGGGTCCTCGCTAGGACCCCACTCTCACGGCGAACTCCTGGAGAGACGATGTGCGTGGGGGCTCTGGGAGTCCCCCCCACCACGATCGCCGGCGTGGGACCGCCGGCGACCGGGTAAGTACAGAAAGACCGGAGGGCGTACTATTACGCCCGGCGGCGTTTAGAGCCGCCTATTAGAGGACGTAATAGTACGCCCTCCGGTCTTAAGGGGTTAAAAACCGCCTTAGAGAATTTTTCCAAAATTAAGTTTTTAATTTACTATAAGTCAATTTTTGCTGTTTGTGTTCAACAAAACACTTCTCTCGCATTTATTGTACCAACACATATTATATACTGTTTATTAGAGGGCAAAAATGACTTTAATTTGATGTGACATACATATATAAATTCTCATTTATTAAAAAAAAAAGTTACAAAAAAAGCCAAAGAATGAAAAAAAAAAAAAATAGGTTTTTGCAGTAATTACGTGTGCAAAAATATGTCCAGCTTAGGAAAAGTAATTCTAAATCAATTAATTTATGTGTCTGGATTTACAAAGTACATAATATGTGAAGGATTTCAGTTTATTTTAAAAGTTACAGGTCACAAAATACAAGGACTAAAATACAATTTTAATGTGAAACAATTTTAGAAGTTGGTATGTTTGTCTTTTTAGTAGCCATCACAGAAAAAAGATTTCCGCACAAAAGCATATATTTATATAAAGTAGACATCACAGGCTATTTACCTAAGGTTATTTTAACACTTTTACGTAGCCATTTCACAGCCAACCTCTGCTAAATATTGGAGTAAAATTGTGTTCTCTCTATTTTGGTATATACACATAACAGGGTTTTTGGAACGTGTATTTCGTAAAGCTGGTGTGTGTTATCCCTGTACAGAACCCCATATTGTGTTCAGCTACATCTGCTGAGTATAATGATAACCCCACTGTATACCTGTTACCACTATTCTGTAAAGCTACAATGCCATATAGGAGCTACAGTTTCCATAGTTAGAATTTTCATAGATGGTCCTATGTCTGATTTTATGGCATAGCAGTTTGACAGTACAAATAACCCCACAAAGGCCTTCCATTTGAGAAAGCAGACACTTCAGAGTATCTTATTAGGCATATATTATACCTTAACTTGCCACCAGGTTTTTGCCAATATATTTCAAATTTAGTGGCGAGAATAAAAAAAAAAAAATTAAAATGACTTTTTTAATTTTTTTTTTAATATATACACATGTTGCATTTTTGCTCGGTATTTCATACATTTGATAAGTGAGACAGTCATAAATTCCCCCTAAGTATGCTCAGTTACATCTTCTGAGTAAAACAATATGCCCAATGTATGACCTAGACACTATTTTGTGAATTTACAGTGCTGTAAAAGAGACCTGTCAATTTCAGATTTTTACGTGTGAAATTTCATAGATGGTTTTGATGGGTCCATGTTCTATTTTGAAATATTTTAGGCTTCTTATTCCAACTACCCCAAAAAGGCATACTATCTCTTAAAGAAGACACCCGAGGGTATTTCAAAAGGCATATTTTGAACCTTGGTGTGGGGATCCCTTTTCCGCTAGCTTGTACCAAGTGTAGTGGTAATGAGCATTAAAAAAAAAAAAAGCACACTTTTCTATCGTGCTCAGCTATGTCATCTGAGCACAGCAATACCCCCACATGTACCTTTGCCAGGTATATGTGGACTTTGAAGGAGCACATTTGAGACACAACCATTTAAGTTTTTTCACTTTGGAATTTTTTTTAACAGGTTGTTTTTTTCCCCAATTACTTCACAAAGGCATACCATTTCCTAAAGAAGACACCCCAGGGTGTTTCAAAAGGCATAATTTTGTTTTGAATATATTTATTAGAGTCGCTGAAAAGCATAGGCAGGCATTTTGCGAATTGGTAAAAATAACATATGGTTGCCTGCGCAGAGGCATATAAGTCAGAATAAACAAGCAATCATATAAATTGGGTGTACATAGACTTTGCAAGATTTGATGCATCAAGGGCATTCGACAGGCATATTAACTCATTGTGTAGGCATTTTAGTCATCTGAGCAATACCTATGTCTAACTACGCGTGTGATGGCTCTTTCAGCATGTCTAGCCTTATACGTAGTTAAATAAACAAGCAATGAAGTAAAATAAATGTACATAAACGTTGCGGGATTTGTTATATCGTGGGTGTTTAACGGGTATAAGAACGCATTATGCAGGCTTTATATTCACCTGAGCAATACCTAAGCTTATGAGACTCATATTGCATAAGAGTTATGTCAGCCTGGTAGCATGGGTCAATTCACTAAATCTAGCGTGGGTGCAGAGCAACAGTGCCTCATTAATTCTAGGCTGATGTGACAGTAGAATTTTCGCTAGGATCATCTAAGGGCTCCATATTTTACTACTCTGTTAAAGTACGTCCAACTAAGCATGCTAGAGACACTCAAACAAGCAGTTATGCAGTACAGGTGAGGAATAAAATTAAAATATGAAAACAAACCCAAAGGGGAGCAAATAAAATTAATTGAGAACTTTAACGCCTTTAACGGTTACGAGGCTGGTCTGTCCTTAAGATCAGTTCACTGAGGGCCGCTCATTGCACAGCTGCCTTGCCCTCTTTGTGGGCACTCAGGAGCAGGGGCTGTCCATACGACTCCCACACCTAGAGTCCACGGGCCACCCTCCCCCCCCTCCTCCGTGGACCTCCCCATCACCACCCAAGATCCAGGACTCAGAAGAGCGTGTTACCCGCCGTCTCACGCGGTGCCAACCACTTGCTTGGAGCTAGCGCGTACCTCCTCCCCCCCCCCCCGGCTCCTGGAGGAGCCACGCAGGCCCGCGGCTTCAGGGACATGGCCCTCTGGGGATCCCACATACCCAGGGGCTAGGGCACCCACTCCTCCAGCGGGTAGGCAGTCATCACGGGGGATCCATCCAGCGCTCAGCTGTGCCCAAGTCTGCACGGGCCGTCCAGTACGGCCCTACATAGTTAGCACTCTCCACATTTACCCCTCTGATGTTGCGGTGATAACTTTAAGGAGTGCTCTTGCCGGTAACGGGGCTCTCTCTGTGTGGGTCCAAGCCTTTTTGCTCCCGATCTGGGTGCCTCTTCGGGTGGGTGTTTCAGCCCCTCCGCGGGCACCTCCGATGTTGCTGGCTTCATGAGTTTCATGAAGCCGGTGCCAGTGCAGGTGGTCGGCATCCAACCCGCGCCTCCACGTGGAAGCCGGGATATCCCCCGCTGGCCAAAAGGGGGAGGGGAGGCAGGGCTGTGGCCCGGGCAGAGTATCTCCCCCTGTCGAGGTGTCTTTAGCGGGATGCCTTGGTGGTTCTCTGCTCCGCAGCGCCATGCTGCCTGTAATGGCCACTGGTATTCTGGCGCTCTGCCTTGTGTAGGCCGGGCCCGGCCCTCTCTACTTGCCTGGCTTGCGGTGGGCATCGTGCGGGTTTTGGGGTAAGCTGGTGTCGTTCTCTGTTCTGAAATGGTGGAATATTGTATATTTATGCGGTCTGGGGCGATTGTTTTAGTGCCTTTTTTTATCAGCTTAGTGAAGGAGCTCATGTTAATGGCGTCCGGTCGGCCCGCCCCCGCCTCAAAAGGCATATTTTGAACCTTAGCGTGGAACATTTTTTCACTAGTATGTACCAAGTGGAGAGGTAATACACATTTTTTCCCTTTTTTTTTTACACTTTTTAAACATTTTTTTTTTTTTTAGCTTTTAAAAACTTAGTTTAAACTAAAAAAAAAATAAAAAAAAAATAATCAGATCACAGTGAAATAATGTGATCTATATTTTGATCATTGCAGACAGTGATCAAAGGGCTGTGAAGGTGTGAAATTTTACAACTAACTCTTTTCTTGCAGAGAGCAGCAGAATAGCACCGTCTGTCTCCCTGCACTTTACAGCTTACAAGGAGCTGCAGGGAGACAGATAGGGACTCCAGGTCAGAACGATAACGTGGGCTTTGAAAGTAAAACTTTAACCCCACAATTGCGGCAATCAGGGGTTAATTTTAGTACTGGACGAGGGCTACAATGACTGAAAATTTCCGTCCAGCGTCCTTAAGGGGTTAACAGCAGCCTCTAGCAAAACATTGGGGTTAGTGATACCAGTGGGTTTGTTTAATAAACTGAGACACAAAATTATATATTGAAGGCAGAAAAACTCACCAGACAGAGCTCTAACTGATCACAAAGTGCATAGAACTCCTCTAAGCTCTTATCAAATCTCTGTACGGGACCATCAGCACTCTTCCTGAATGATGAGAAGAGAAACAGGACAGGCTGAAAAATGGGCAAAACATACAAGCAACGTGAGCAAACTGGCACTAAATAGTAGGGATCGACAGATTATCGTCTTGGCAGATATTCCAATTTTGGCAAATATCGGTATCGCCAATAATGTGAGAGGCGGTGGTGGTCCAGCGCATGCAGGGCTGTCGCGTCCAAAAGCGCACCGGCTCTGGGGTCGCAAAAACCAAGTGACTGGCAGAAAGGAAGCACACAGCGCTCCCCCTACCAGTCACTCAGTGTAGCATGGTTGAGCAGAGCGGACCGTGGTACAGGAGCTTCCTGTACTCGGCCGGACTGACCATCGTCTGCTGCGCACGGGCACGCTACAAGAAAGGTAAAGAGGCACACCAGAGAGGGGAGAGGACCACTAAGGGGAGTGGGGACACTAAGGGAAGGGAAGGGAGTGGAGAGGACCGCCAAGGGACAGGGAAGGGAAAGGAGTGGAGAGGACCGCCAAGGGACAGGGAAGGGAAGGGAGTGGAGAGGACCGCCAAGGGAAGGGAAGGGAAGGAGTGAGAGGGACCGCCAAGGACAGGGAAGGGAAGGGAGTGGGAGAGGGACCTACTAAGGACAGGGAAGGGAGGGAGAAGACCGCCAAGGGACAGGGAAGGGAAGGAGGAGAGGGACCGCCATGGGACAGGTAGGGAGGTAGGGAGTGGAGGAGGGACCGCCATGGGAAGGGAGTGGAGAGGACCGCCAAGGACAGGAAGGGAAGGGAGTGGAGGAGGGACCGCCAAGGACAGGGAAGGGAAGGGAGGGAGGGACCGCCAAGGACAGGGGAAGGGAAGGGAGTGGGAGAGGACCGCCAAGGGACAGGGAAGGGAAGGGGAGTGGAGAGGACCGCCAAGGGACAGGGAAGGAAGGAGTGGAGAGGACCGGCCAAGGAAGGGAGTGGAGAGGACCGCCAAGGGACAGGGAAGGGAAGGGAGTGGAGGGGACCGCCAAGGGAGTGGAGGGGACCGCCAAGGCACAGGGAAGGGAAGGGAGTGGAGGGGACCGCCAAGGCACAGGGAAGGGAGTGGAGAGGACCACTAAGGGACAGGGAAGGGAGCGGTACAGGGAAGGGAGAGGAACACTAAATATTCTTGAAAACATAAAACAAAAATCTCACTGGCATGTATATTTTGTGCATTTATCACTTCAACCCCCCCCCCGTAAAAATTTAAATAAACATGTTCAGTTAACAGTAGATTTGTGTAGAAATAGTTTCTTCTTTCAAAACGGTAAACGTACAGAAGATCGGTACGTTATCTGCTATCTGCCTGAAATTTCACATATTATCGCTACCAGCTAAAAAAAATAAAAAAAAATTAAAAAATACACAATCGGTCGATCCCTACTAAATAGCACCGTATGACATATTCACAACTCCCTGACCCCAGCCTCCACCACACTTACAGTCCACCACATTCACAGTTATCACAACCCCCTTCAAATACCACATTCACAATCCTGTACTCACAGTAATTACACTCATTCATACACCACTCTCACAGTCTTACATATGGAGCCTCACACACACAGGATAGAAACATAGAATGTGACGGCAGATAAGAACTAGTCTGCCCAATTATCTAAATAAATACTTTCATTAGTCCCTAGCCTTAACTTATAGTTAGGATAGCCTTATGCCTATCCCACGCACGCTTTAACTCCTTTACTGTGTTAACCTCTACCACGTCAGCTACAAGGCTATTCCATGCATCCACTACCCTCTCAGTAAAGTAATACTTCCTGATATTATTTTTAAACCTTTGTCCCTCTAATTTAACCTCTTAAGACCGGAGGGCGTACTATTACGCCCTATTTTAGGCGGCTCTAAACGCCGCCGGGCGTAGTAGTACGCCCTCCGGTCTTTCTATACTTACCTGGTCGCCGGCGGGGGGACTCCCAGGGAGCCCCCCGCGGCACATCCGACCCCCCTGGAAACCCCCATACGAGCTGGCTGCTGTATTGCCAGAAGGGGGACTGCCTGTAATGACAGGTGGTCCCCCTGCTGGCTGGAAATAAAATTAAAAAAAAGTTAAA